CATATCGAAAGATCGCACTGTGTCATACTGCATACGTTACTGGCCGCGCGATGGAATGTCAGGAATTTCGCCAGTAGATAGTCGAAAAAGCGAACTTTAATCGTAAAATTAACAAACTTCTGGTTCGAATTTTTCAACAAGGTTTGTATTTTTATGATCGGAAAAGACCAAATTTTCAGAAAATGCAAAAAACCCGATATCGAAATTTTCATTTCATATACACTTTAACAACATCCGTAATTCTATAGTTATAATTCTGCAAGCTATTTCTCTGTTACCCGTTGTTTTGCCAATTACAACCCACCGCCAATTACCCTATATCCGTTATTGCAATGTTTCTACAATCGCGATGAAAACCAGTGAATCTATTAGATTTCGACCTGTTCATGCTATGTCCAGCATTAATGGAAGTTAAGTTTATTATTGAAAGGGAAAAAACAAAACGTGTCCATTCTCTCTTTAACAGAAATTTATTTAATCTTCAACAGTGATATTATTTTTTTATTTATTATCCCCAATACTGCAACTATACCAATCATTGTTTATTCTGTATGACATAAATCAACATGTTTAACTTCGCCAACGTAATCCACCATGTGGCTTTTGATCAATTACCTGAAAAATAAACAAATATTATGAGAAGATCAAGTTTAAAGGTCGACTAGTGCAACAAAATTGTTCTCAGTATTACTATTAATTATCATCCCAGTTAATCGGCTAAGTTTCATACAAGTGATGCTATAAGTATGTCATCAGAATACACTCAGGATATCGTTGCACTATTAATTCACGTTCGAACAGAAACAAACGGTTTTAATTCCTTTCAGTTACAGACGAGCAAATCTTTGTACTAAATGTAGCTGTGCATGGTGTCGCCAAACACGAAGAAAGCCACACAGTTTTGATTAACAATATTTGTGTCTGGATGGTTCAAGTAAAAACGGAACGTTATATATGCACGGCATACGGAAAACTACTTTTTTACTATTTCATAACCAACATAATGCCAGTTAATACATATGTTTAAAAAATCCTGTGCATAACATTTCGTTTTTACATGAACCACTATTCGTAAAATTTACGAATAATTAATAACTAAAGGCTACAAACAAATCACGACGCGTTACTGTTATAGGTCACATATGCACACTTGTGACTCGCTTTAAAGATCTAGAACGTCATGTTAGAGGGATGTTTATGAAAGTTATCAATGTAGTCTAGGACTTGTATACCTAGATGTTTGTATGCGTTTCATTTAGCACAGGTAATCTCAACTGTTTTAGGGTAAAATGACCATGGCGTTCAACATGGCATATGTGCCAAAACCTGAATACGGAGCGAAAGTCCTGAAAATGACCCCGCCCTGAAACGGCAGTGTCGACATAGCTCCAACTTCTGAAAACGAAAAGCGACAGCCTTTCTGAAGTGCTTATAGTGTTTAGAATGGTTGCTTTTAGGTGTGGTTATTGGAATGAAAAATTTGTCTAAGTATAATATTTTGCAAGAAAATGACCATGCACCATCCTAGGTGAATTGCTAATTATGCATAAAATAACTAATATGCATGCCAGAAATTAAATGTTCTTATTGTTCTTGTTCTCCGCTCATATTCAACTCGAGTTCGTAGAGTAACTGTTAATTATTCAGCCGAGGTCAATGTTATCTGCCGAAGCGAAGCTGAGGCGGATAACATTGACCAAGGTCTGAATAAAATTTGACCAATCAACTTGTAGGATGTGTTATGCATGTTCACTTGTGCAAAAATACTAATAGCTCATATCCTGTTATAGTAGAGGAAAACAAAGGTGGCTCAAATTGAATTTCCGACGTTTTGCGAACGAGAAAATGGCAAGTTGTTCGCTTTTTATAGCCTTTACAGGATTAAAAACAATGAAAAAACTCCAACAAATTGTTTACTGGTTAGTAAATGAATTTTTAAAATTTAAATTGGTTAAAAATACATATTTTTGAAAAAATAATCGGCCGAAAGAGCGAAGATAAAAAACATAAACAAAATAGAAAAATATTGAAAATATCCGAAAAGCAAAGTCTGTGAATTCTGACCTTGTGTATATAATAAAACAGTTATTCCACTCACTCTTGTCGAATATGAGCGATAGCCGATTCGGCGCTAGGCGCCTCATCGGCTATCAGTTCATATTCAACTCGAATTCGTAGAATTATTCAGATCGAGGTCAATGTTATCTGCCGAAGAGAAGCTGAGGCGGATAACATTGACCAAGGTCAGAATAATTCTTGATGTCATGCGAAAGCCGAATTCAATAATTGTTTTATTAGACATAACTAAAGTATATTTATTTTATATTCGCGCGCTTTTGGGTTTGAATTGTTGGCCCCGCCGGAGCTTGGGCACAACAGCGTCCAATATTTTTTTTTATGCAAGTTCGATCCAAGAAAAAAACTATTATTGGACTCTGAGCACGTCAGCAGCTGAAATTACGTAATAGGTACCGAATATTGAGAATTATCCATACTAAGTGTATAATAATACATATTTTTGAAATTGAGTGATTTAATTTGCTACTTGCAAAAGGAAGGATTTTGGCCTCTGCAAGGAAATGTGCAAGGAAATAAAATTTTCAAGGAAATGGGAAGGAATTTTGTTGTCAGGAAGGAAATAAGAAGGATATTACGTTATTTCTAATAAATCCTAAAATTGTAGCAATTTCCAGGCCAATTCGCTTCAGAAAATGTCGAAAATGCTATCCTGGGGAATGGCAAATTTGAAAATATTTGTGAGGGATGACCTCAAGCCCCCAGTTCTTCTACTTCGAATAAATTTAGATCACGCATGCATCGGCTGCGAATTTGCTTAAATACAGTAACTAAACAAAGAATAATTTATTTATTAAACGTTCTCTGACTAAATATTTATTTCTACGAGCTTTCGGCTATCAGTCTTTAGTATAAACCTACTAGTAGGCTATCATATATCGTGCGTTCTGATTGGCTACGCTACTAGTAGGCTATTAGTGATAGCCTACTAGTAGCAACAAGCGGCGAAGGGCGCGAGAGTCAATGGCCGTTTTTAAGTATTAAAAGCTGCATTTAAAGGGAAAAAGCTTATCAAAATGGCCTAGTTTTGGTTCTGGATTACACACAAACAAAGAATCTTGGAAACTGCTGACACATGCGGTAAAATTTTTAAGTTTTCTCAACTTTGCTCGTAGTTTTGAACATGAAAGTGACAGGCGAATTTTTAAAATATATGCACAATGTTTGTTAATATTCCAAGCAGAACTGTTGAAATTCAAGAATACTTTAAGCTATTTACCCCTGTTTTCTCAACCTCTTTAGTGTGTGCTTGTTTTAAGTACGAGTTCATGTATTTAGCTGTCATTTTAAAGAGTTTTTTTCGTTTAAATTTTGAGATTTTGGCCGAGTTTGTTTTTCGCTTTTTCGAGCCTTTTTATAACTATTGTCTATGTATACACTAGATTATGGAAATTGTTTGCCTCTTTATGTTCCAGATATTTTAAAGATTTCAACGACATTCGGATAATCGGATTCTTTTGCATGTGTGTGCATTTTTATACGGCTTTTTAACGTAAACTTTATTTACTAATTTAGTAACAATTCGGGAAGCCATTTTGTGTTCGAAATTTTGGACTTTTTAAGCCTTGTTTGCTTCTTTTAAATAAGTTTTAATTAACCAAAATTTGCTTCTATAACGGTCTCTTACTATTATACTGTTTTACGACATGTTTTTTAACTTTTTTAAAACTCACAAGTTGTATTTTTCAAGTCATTCTTGGGAGTTCGCAACACTGAGTAGTTGTCAACAAAGCCAAGGCGAAATGTCAGCAAAGCCAAAAGAAGCCATTTAAACGCTCACTTTGTTAAAACGTTATTATTTTACATAAAAATCAAGTGAAAGATTCCGTTTTCTTTGTGTGGTTTATACTAAAACAATTAGACAACTCAGCCTCGTTGTCTCTGAACGAATAGTCAACTCGGCTTCGCCTCGTTGACTATTCGCTCATAGACAACTCGGCTTCGTTGTCTGATTGTTAAATAGCCTTCGACGGGTGTATACACCCGTCGAAGGCTATAGACTGATAGCCAAAAGCTCGTAGAAATAAATATTTAGTCAGAGAACGTTTAATAAATAAATTATGTTTCAAACTGGCTACGCATCCTCTATTTAAACAAAGAATGTTAAAAGCGTATAGTTACTTTGAATGCTTCAACGAAACTCAATCCATACATTAGGTATATGTTTTTAGAGTGATTTAACATAATTTAAACGAAAACGAAATGATATACATTACAGAGCCGTCATGAAAATAACGTGACCACTACCGGATATTTAATTGTTATGTTACTCTGCGAACTCGAGTCGTATATGCATGAGCTGATAGCCGAGAAGGTGCGTACCACAGAGGTGGCCATCAGGTATCAGCCTTATACGACATGACAATGTTTCAAATGTTGCTGTTTTTAAATTAAACAAAACAAGAAAACAAGTGCTTGTAAACTAAATGGACTAAATCTTCTCCATAGATATTCTGCTCATATTTATATCTTCGCTCTTTCAGCATCATTAGTTTTAAAATTAATCGCTTTGAACAATTAAGCCTATAAGAAGCGAATAACTTGCTGCTTTCAAGTTCGCAAGACTCCAGTATTTTTTGTGCGGTCATCTTATTTTCTCTGCTAGCGAGCTATTAAACAATTATTCGTGGAAATTGAAGTGAATAAGTGCAAAGATTGGGGAACCACAGCTGCAACTTCGTGTACTAAAGAAATTGCTCGACAGAAACCGAAAGAAAATAGGCCAGGAACCCATTTTTAATTGTTTCGATTTGTCGGTGAATCAAAATATTCTAGAGTTGAGCAACCTATCAAATTGCACGAAAAGCACTATCTACCTCCAAATATTTTATAATATGTAGATATGAATAAATAGATATTTTACTTACATCTAAGATAATTGAATTCACAAATGTAATGAATTTTACTAGAGCATGTTCCGTCATTCCATTGTCCCACCTTGACTCCTGCAGTGTAAATATGTGCACAATTCTCTCGGCCGCCTGAATCGTTTGGCTCACCGGCCGCCCAATTTGTATATGTTGGTTTTACTCCACAGACAGAAAGGAACTTGTCAGCAGACTGATCACGTGGTCTATAGTAATAAATATCAAATATATGATTAGTCACATTTTCGTGACATGGACACCATGAAAGTGAAGAATTATAAAGGCTAGGTGCTGATATATCATAGATTATGAAGCGAATTAAGATACGCGTAGCACAGCGGACTGGTAACGATTTGCCATTTTTACCACAAGAACGTTACCTAATAGTCCAGTCAAATCACCATATATATAAGTAAATGTTCCTGATCAAAGTAATCGCAATAGATTTGTTTTCAGTGGTAAAGTGTGAGAAAAGTTGTTCTGATTAACATACTAAAAATCCCAAAAAATCGCTTCGGTACGTGGAACATGGTGAAAATCGGTTTTTTTTTACTTCTGCCTATAGAAAACCATTGTGGACAGAACAGTGTTGAAATTTTGAAATCATTTTTAGGCAAATGTAACCTACATTACTGGAAAGCTTAGAAAAAACTAAAATATAGGTCATTAAACGGTTATCTTGCTTTTGCCTATCCAGCCGAAGTTATACAAGACTTAAAATGCCATACATTTGTATTTTGTGCAAATTTTGCACTATTTTTCCAACAACGACAAACTGATCAGTAAATTGAATATAACCGTTTAATGATCTATATTTTAGTTTTTTCTAAGCTTTCCAATAATGTAGGTTACATTTGCCTAAAAATGATTTCAAAATTTCAACATTCTGTCCACAATGGTTTTCTATAGGCAAAAGTAAGAAAAACTCGATTTTCACCATGTTCCACCGAAGGGATTTTTTTTATTTTTAGTATGTTAATCAGGACACCTTCCCTCTTATTTTACCACTGATTCTTTGACCTCTGGTCACAGATTGACTGGATTATAACATAATACCACTGTTCCGTATAAAAAATGAAGCCGGTATCATAATGCGCCACCGACTGTACAATAGATTTCTATTACACAGCATAAGCAGCCAATGGAATCCAGAAGGGGACAAGGGTAACTACACCTCACCAAAAGTAGAAGTGAGGGAGCTACAAGCCACCTATAACTTTAGAATTGGAAAACTAAATATGAAAGTGCGAAATTCTTTGTCGTCCGATATGTCTAAGTTTGTATATCAGACTCAGAACGATGGCATTGAAGCTTGTTTTTGGACTCCCTGAAGTTTTTCTAGCCCCTACCCAACCTAACCAATCTTCCTATGCTTGTGTATACATAATCATAGTGTTCGCCTTTTTTCGCATGATCAGATAACTTTTTTACCACACGAGCACATCCGTGCCAAGAAGTTAACGACTACTGAATTTCAAATGATATTTAACGTTATTTTAAACTTAAAAATGATATCTTGAAAATTGAGTGGACAAATTTCCTTGACGGCAAAAACAAATAGACAATCAAATAGAATGGATTGAAATTTCAATATCTTTATTATGCAGTAAATTGTACTACCCAGAAATTGTTCAGTAATGAACCACATATACGTACCTAAAATATCCAATCCAGGATGCAACCAATCCGCGTTTTTTTGCTTCTCTTGCCAAGAGATTGCTCTCAATCAAACTCGATATTATAACCAAGTCTCCACCATTCTGTTGGCATGACGAACGTGCAACGTTCCAATTCGCACTTATTGCAAAAAACTTGTAGCATTTATTACCAATCTTGCTCCAACCACATGGACATACATCTATAAGTAGACGAAAGTACGAGTATTAAAAGTAATGAAAAATGCTTATTGAGCTGGACATTTGTTTTACTTGGTTCCAGGCGATACGATTCCTGTCTGGAACAGACTTCCCCACTGGTCCTCATGCCTCATGTGAAGATAGGTCACAACGTCCGTGCAGGTTACCACACAGAATCTTGTAAACAAAATGGCGTAATTACACTCTTGCTTACGCCATAGGCACGCGGAAATTTGTCAGCACTTGTCGGCATGAATAAAAAGTTTCAAAACAATTTGAACACTAACGTGTTAATTTAAAGATAAAAAGCAGAGCCATCAAATAAAACCAAACATAATAAAAGTAAAAAATTTATTAGCTAACTTTTCGTTTCTTACAATACAACATCTTCAGAGCAATCTGAATAAATTCACAAGGTATGGTATATATATTTACAAAATAATGCGTGGTTTAATATTACAAAAACGGTTACTTAGTTTGAAAGAACAAATGAATAGAAAGAAAGGAAAACAACTTATCAGTGACTATATATATAATTAGTTATTATAAGATTAATGTTAAGTGCATGTTTGTTTGTTGTTTCCCCCTGGTGTATCAATTGCCAAAGTTTTAAGCTAATTTGTTATTTAAGAACCCGAACTACTGCACAATTTTACGCGTTGCTAAGGAAAAATGCAACTGTACCGTAAACAATTTGTCGAGTTTAAATGTTCGCGTTCCTTAGAATAAGACATCATAGTACGTGGTATTGCTCATGGATCCATATTGGGCACGTTGTTTTCCATCAGAATATATCAATGATATTTCCAATGCTTCCATATTTACAGAGCCATTGACTTTTGCAGATGACACTAGCATATTTTAAGTACTAGTTAAAACATGAGCAGCAGACCTTTATCTGATATACAAACTCTCGCCTTCGGCTCGTGTTAAAAAACGACCCATCTTATGAGTTCGTTGGCGAAGTAATTTCAAAAATAGACATAGCCTTGAGCTAGGTGCCAGTAAAATGATAATCGGGATCTTGGATATTTGTCTACAACAAAGTGCTTTGGTCCTGATCATAAGTTGTGATTGTATTTATTGATATTTTGAAATCTCTGACAAAAACTTACTTAATTAGTATTTCTATATACAGGGTGAGTAAAAAAAACCTGATACCTTCACGGCTAATTTGAATAACAAAAGTGTCATTTTTTTTATTCACTCTGTATGATATTATACAGTATTCAGTGACAACCTAGAGGAACTAGATGAAAATACGAACAAAAGCACCAAATGTTGCTTTAACAAAAGAACTAAATGAAAATACGAACAAAATCACCAAATTTTGGTTGATAGTTTGGCAGGACTGGGCTTTGGCGATAGAATATGATGTTGACATTGAGAAGTATCCACAAAATTTCCAAACATCACGAGTACTCTTAATCCCTAATTGTACGAGCAACATCGCATGATTACCTATACTATTTATTAGTTAATTGCATAATAAAGCGTATAATGACTCGCTGCATGCATGTTATTTGTACATCTAAGTATGCTTTTGCAACGTTTTTACTCGTTGATTTTGCCAAACCCTGGCATTCAAATAGCATATAATAAGTATATGTCGAAACATAGCGGTTAACCCTTCAAAATAACGCTGCATACAGTGTGCATTGGTGACACAAAATATGTCCGTGTGCATTCGATCCGTGTGCATTCGATCTGAAACATGCAGTTGCTACTTTGCTGTCGAAAAATTTCGAATTTTTACATCCTCGTAAACTGTATGAGCCCCTATTTTTACGCTTATACCTAAGATATCAAATACAAATCCATAAAACAGAGAACATTTTTAGAAAGTTTTATCGTGAGGCCACGGCCAGTTTTTAAAATATCTTTATTTCTGTTATCTTTTTTTCTGGCCATCACCAAAATTACACCGAAGCCGGGCTTAAATATATACAACAAATTTTGAATCTCATCAAGTACAAAATTATGATAGCTAAATTTTCAAACTAGACCCTTCTCGAAAAGGTTTTCACGAAGTAAGTTCACATTTCGGCCTTTGATTCTTGGGCTCTTGGCAAAAATGTGACCATAACACGTGTGAAGCAACTGGGTCAGTCTCAAAGACTTAGCTAAAACATTATGAGCCCCTATATTTTCCTGACGATATGTTTGATATCTACAAACACCGAAAAGTTTTTTCCGCTTTTCATTTAGGTGTATTTGAAATTCAGA